CTCAAACCACAAGTAGTTTCTGCTAAGAAGATGGCTCAGGATAGGAGCTGGCCAGCCAGGAAGACCAACCATGTGATTAGAAGGTTGGAGCTTTGAACCATGATAGCAGTCTGACTTCCAGGGTGTAGAGGAGGCTGGAGATTGAGTTCAACCCCAAATCAATCATGTCTATGTAATAAAACCTAAATAAAAACTCTGGATAGGAAGCTCAGGTGAAGTTCTCTGGTTGGCAATTCTCTTTTGAGTATTGTCATACCCCAATGCTGGGAGGGTAATGTATCACTGAGGATGACAAAAGATTCAGGTTCAGAACCCTCCCAGATTTCTCTCTCTGTGTCTCTTGTTTTGGCTCATTCCAATTTGTATCCTTATGCTATAATAAAACTGTTATTATAATAATAGGACTTTTGGTGAGTGCTGTGAGTTTTTCTCACCTGAGGAAGGGGTCTATGGAACCTGAGGGTGGACATGGGAACTCCTAAATTTGTAGCCACTTGGTCAGAAGTGAGGGTGGCCCTGGCAACCCCTGAACTTGCAGGTGGTGGGTGAATTTAGGACAGTGCTCTTAACCTCAATTTTGGCTAACTCCATATAAGAACCCTTTTTGCACTGACTTGTAAGTTAGATATCTCAGTTAGATATCCAATTTCCATATATATAGATCAATTCTGAGCTGTCTTTTACGATTTGAAATATGTCTATCCCTGTACCTAATATCGCAATATATTAATTACTATAGATTTATAGTAAGTCTTCTTTGTTATGAACTAGAGAAAAATCCCTATCGTATTTCTTTGTTAGAATTGCTTGAAATTTTCTTGGCTATTTGTCTCCTATGAGAATTTTAGGACTGGCCTGTCTAGGATTATCAAAAGCCATGTTGAGATGTTTTTTGGTTACACAGCAATAGATAATTAAAACAAGGTTCTTGCATACCATATTAAGGAGATTGGACCTTTTTTTTTTTAAGTCCATAGAGAGTTGGAAATGAATTTATGAACAGGATTTCCAGATTGAGTAAGCACCTGTTAGGTTAGGTTATGTTATAATAAAACCAACCACAAAATATCGGTGGCTTAAAACAACAAAGATTTACTTCTCACTCATATTACATGTGCATGTGGGCTGTCTGGGAGTTCTGCCCTACATCATCATTGCCATAAATCAGGACCCAGGTAGAAGGAGCAACCCCTACCTGGAATATTACTGGTTACTAAGAGAGATGGAACCAGAACATAGAAGACTACACTCTGGCTCCTAAGGCTTCTATTGAGAAGTGACAATCACTTCCCCTCTCACTTCATTGACCAAAGCAAATCATACAGTGATATGTAACTTCAAATGGATGGAGAAATATGATCCTTCTATGTACCCAGAAGAAGAAAGGTCTGGAATATTTATGAACAGCCCTAATGACTAAGACAGCACTTCACAAAGACTGAACTATTGGGAGTATGGAAATGAAAATGGCAGCAGGAATGGAGGTACAATTGTGCACAGGGCTGCAGGTCACAGAAAGTTTACTAGCACTTAAATCAGAGGGTCTGACAGGTGTTGGAAACACATCTGTAGTTACACTGACAAAAGCAGGGATGTTATGGTTAAATTGCTGGATTAAAGGACAAGTCATTGATTTTAACACAATATTTTGCAACATCTGAACCCACATACATGGGGTAGCCTCACTCACACTGGGTGAGCCAACCTGGATATCTGGCTCAAGGGATGGAGGTTTAATCAGCAAAATCAAATGTGTACCTTTGCCTTTTGTCTTCCGGTAGTGTTTCTACAGCTCTCTGGGATCAAGTAAATGTTCCTTGTTTTTATTTTTCATTACAAAAATTTCATTTTCATTCGAGTCATATAAAAAATAGAAAGAATTCTTAATTCCTGTGTACCCACCACCCAGCATCAATATCATCCCTTCTATTCATCAAGAGTATTTTTGTGATTGAGGGATTATGAGATAAACCAGTGATCCTTGGGTTTATGTAATCTGATGCTGAGTGTAGGACAAGTCTTGATGGCAAAATGCCAAGATCACCTGAATCCATTCAACAATGGATTGGGCCATTGTTGTGGAGACTATCAAGGAGACCATCACCAGATAAATCCTCTACAGATACATCTTCAACATGCCAGTTCTCCTGAAAACCCACTGCCAATTTTAGGGTTGTTACCTGTTATGATAGGATGGGGAGGTAAACTTGGAGGGGCCTGTACCACGTAGTGATAAAAAAATCATAGAAAACTTTAAAATATTTATTCCTTGTGACATGGCCTTGGCATGCTTTTCCACCAGCTCCCACACTGCTGATAGTCAGCATAAGGTGAAAAAAGGTTAAGATTCTGTAACTCATAATAGTCTTCTCATTGTTATCTCTTCCTTGCACTCCAGACAGGCCATAGCTACTAAGGAGAGACCTGATGGGGTCAGCAATATGATTGATCATTAGCTACCAGTCTCACATCACAGTGAAACAGGATTGAGTTACAAATGACAGAAGGCCAATGAGTTTGCCAAGCAAGAGGTAGTTTATTTAACAGTCAATCTCACAAGATCAAGTAGAGACTTTAAATATTTGAGTGAGTTTAGGTTTAGAATTAAAATGTAACCTGGAGAGAGTAGGATAACACTTCATTGTTATCCTATAGCAGTTACTTCCCTGCAAATAGGGTTTGAGGGCGAATGTGAGAGATGGAGAGTGAGCAAGGATGAGGAAAGAAGATGAATCAGATATTTTCCACCTTTCCAGTGGAAAAGTTCTTCCCACTGAGACCCCTTTTCTTATTATGAACATGTCAAGGGGAAGTTGAGAAGTACTTATCTCACTGTAGGTACAGTGACTTTCTTGTTGGAAAGTGGTTTGGGGTGGGAGCTGGTGAGGGACAAGGTGTGCGAAGACTCCTGATACACTAAAATGATTTAGCTGCTCACAGGTAAGAGTCTCTGTCTTCAATAGTACAGTGCCCTAGTCAACTTCCTGGGCTTTACACTCAAGACAATGGAGAGCTCCCAGTCACTCCTAAACAAATCCTTTGGAAATGCAGACAGAACAGGAGTGTTTAGATATCCCTAAAAACTACTTAAAATCTCTAGTCTTTTGCTAACCAATATGTCACACTGTACTTGAGATTTCATTATCACCCCTCATACCCCCAAGATTCTCAAACCCTCCCCATATGCAAGACTGTTGGTTTCTGGGTTTGGAATGTAAAGTCTGTCAGTGTCCCTGGGATTAATGTTAGCCCTTCTTATTTCTGTTTTTTTTTTTTCTCATGCTATATTGTATTGCTTAAGGTGCATATACCAGCTTGTCTACATTGCTTACTGAAAATATGGAGATAGATGATTTACGCTTCTTCACAAAGGCTGGTTTTGGCGATGTGACCAGTGAGCATAAAAGACCTCTCAGCCAACTTATGCCTTGGTTCCCCTGAAACTGAGATACTGCACATATATTTTGGTGGCTTGTGATTTGGAGACGAGTAGTGTTCTATGTGACTGAAGAAGGTCCCTGCAATCTGTGCCTGCATGCTGCAGAACACTTTGATGTTTTCCTGTGTTTTATTTTATTGTTGTTTCTCTCATGCTGCATTGTAGTTTTTGTCTTTTTTCAAGTTTATGTAAGTGTAACCCATGGAGTCTCAGGAGTCCAGTCAATCACCTTAAAGTGGTGACTGCTGTGGTTGCAGTTCCCCCATTTTAATGCAAAAAGGAAACTTATTTTTGTAAAATTAAAATGAAGCCCATCATATGTTAGAGTTTAATCTTCATTTAAGAAAAGAATTTATGAGACTTTCCAGCTACACTCTAGAAAGGGATTAATAAAAACATCTCCAGAGGCCAGCCTCGTGGCCTAGTGGTTGAGTTCGGTGCACTCTGCTTCAGTGGCCCGGGTTCGTGGGTTCGGATGCCAGGTGCAGACCTACACCACTCATCAGCCATGCCATGGCAGCAACCCACATACAAAATAGAGGAAGACTGGCACAGATATTAGCTCAGGGCTAATCTTCCTCAAGCCAAAAAAGAGGAGGATTGACCACAGATGTTATCTCAGGGCAAATCTTCCTCAGAAAAAGAAAAAAACACATCTCTAAATTTTGGCAAGGTCTGGCCCCATGGCATAACGGTTAAGTGCATGCGCTCTGCTGCTGGCGGCCCAGGTTTAGATCCCGGGCGCACACGGATGCACCACTTGTCAGGCCATGCTGTGGCGGCATCCCACATAAAGTGGAGGAGGATGGGCATGGATGTTAGCTGAGGGCCAGTCTTCCTCAGCAAAAAAAAGAGGATGATTGGCATGGATGTTAGCTCAGGGCTGATCTTCCTCACATAGACAAAAAAAAGGAAATTAATAAATAAATAAAAATAAATCTTGGCACAGCCTCTTTCAAAGGGAAGCACACCTTGTGCAGTATGGGGGAAACAGAAGCTTGTTTTATTTGGCCTTAGGAACAAGCCACATTGTCCAATCAAGCAATACTAGGACTAAAGCTAATACTAAATTTCCATCTTCTGATAGCAGGGGCTATCTCGCAACTGTTTAGAATTCAAAGGGGTATAAAACCTGTGAAGTGTCATTAATTTCAAGTCCTAAATATCTGGCTGGTTTAGAAGAAACAAAACTCTTTATAAAAAGAAGATGACTTCTACTTATTTCATCTCATCTAAGATACTTTTGGTTGTTTGATGCACTGTTATTTTAAGTGCCAAGTTCTCCATTTACATATGTTAAGTCATCAACTGTATGCAGCATTTTAACAGCATTGTTTATATATGGGACAAAATTTCCCTCTTAGAGTCAATGAAAATGTTTTACTCAAGAAAGGCTCAAAATCTTCCAGGCCCATTTACTAATACCAGCAAACAGTGGAGCGGGAGGAGGGCGGGGGCAGATATTCAGGATTTTATTAAGATTTCTTACTGAAATAGTGAACCGTGTAGTTCAGTTACAATTTATGTAGCATTATAATGACACAAAGACTCAATGCAGATATTCTATGGAAAAGGTTTATGGACATTTAAGCACATGGACCAAGGAGTCACAATTGTTATGCTAATACATGCAATTCCCAAATATGAACAATCATCTTTATAACAAAAATAGACACAAAACACTTATTATCACATAGTTCTGATATAATATTTATTTACATATTTAAGACTTTCTATAATGCTGCTTATTATGTCATAATTGCAGAAAATGACTTCCCTTACAAAATGATATCCATGAAAGCATGATTCCCCAGATTCTTTAAAGCATAGAATTTTTTCCTTATTGTCAATTCTCTGATACCAATGTAGCTGAATTTCACAACAACATCCCCACAATCAATACATACAGAGATGTTCCTTCCTATTTGTTCCCTCTGGGCTGCATTCAGTTGACGTTTATTGGGAAAGGTATTTCCTCCTGTCTGGCATTCTAGCCAGTACCATTCTCTGATAAGTAATGAGGTGTGAATTTGAAAAGAAAGCATGTCCACATCTGCTGCAGTCTCAAAGTTTCACTCCTATGTAAACTCTGGTGTAATGAGCTATTCACTCTCAATGACAACTTTTGGATATTTACTTCATTCATGATTTCTCTCTTCTATGAGTTTTCTGATGTAAAATGAGGCTGAATTTGTGGGAGAAAGTTTTCCAACAGTGACTGCATCCATAAGGTTTCTCACCTGTGTGAGTTCTTTGATGTATAATAAGATGTGACTTCTGGGCGAAAGATTTCTGACATTCGCTGCATTCATAGGGTTTCTCTCCGGTGTGTGTCTTCTGATGTAAAACGAGGCTAAACTTGATAGGAAAAGTTTTCCCACATTCACTGCATCCATAGGGTTTCTCTCCTGTATGGATTCTCCGATGAATAATGAGGCTAAACTTGTGAGAGAAAGTTTTCCCACATTCGAGGCATTCATAAGGTTTCTCTCCCGAGTGAATTCTCCGGTGAATAAGGAGATATGACTTCCGGCTGAAGGCTTTGTGGCATTCACTGCATTCATAAGGTTTCTCTCCAGTGTGAGACCTCTGATGAATAGTGAGGTGTGACTTTTGGGTGAAAGCTTTCCGACACTGACTGCATTCATAGGGTTTCTCACCTGTGTGAGTTCTTTGGTGTAGGATGAGACTAAACTTGATGGAGAACGTTTTCCCACATTCACTGCATCCATAGGGTTTCTCTCCTGTATGAGTTCTCCAGTGAGTATTGAGGAGTGACTTTACACTAAAGCCTTTCCCACATTCACTGCAGTTATAAGGTTTCTCTCCTGTGTGAGTTCTCTGATGTCTAATGAGCTCAGATCTCTGGATGAAGCCTTTCCCACATTCCTTGCATCCATAGGGTTTTTCCCCTGTATGAGTCTTTTGATGTAAAATGAGGCTAAACTTAAGGGGGAAGGTTTTCCCACATTCATCACAACCATAGGGTTTCTCTCCCGTGTGAGATCTCTGATGAATAATGAGCTGTGACTTGTTGCTGAAGCTTTTCGGACATTCTCCACAAGCATAGGGTTTCTCTCCTGTATGAGTTCTTTGATGTAAAGTGAGTTGTGACTTATCACTGAAGCCCTTCTGACATATGCGACACTCAAACCGTTTCTCTCCTGTGTGAGTTCTCTGATGCTTATTAAGGCTTGACTTATCAGTAAAAGCTTTCCCACATTTATTACATTCATAAGGTTTCTCTCCTGTATGGGTTCTCTGGTGTAAAATGAGGTGGGACTTTCGGCTGAAGGTTTTCTGACATCTACTGCAACCATAGGGTTTCTCTCCCGTGTGTGTTCTCTGATGCTTAATGAGGTCTGACTTCTGGGAAAAGGCTTTCCCACAGTCACTGCAGTTATAGTGTTTCTCTTCTGTCTGAGTTTTCCAATGTTTAATAAGCTGTGTTTTATGTCTGAAAGCCTTTACACATTCATTATATGCATTGTATTTTTCTGTGGTATAAATTTTCTCATGCCTAGTATAAAGAAATAATTTTTTATATCCATTAAGTTCAACTTCATTTCTTTCATAGCTTCTATTCTGAGTAATGTACTCAAGATTAGGTTTCAAATGTTTCCCAAGTATGTCAAAGGTATGAGATCTTTGTGCTAAAGGCACATCAAGGTTTAAGCTCAGAGAAGATGTTTTTCCAAATGCATTATTTTTGTGGTGACTCCCCAGAGTTTCAGGGTTGCCTTGGTTTTCTTGGTGCCAGTCTATCTGATTATTAACTTGCCAGGTGTTGTCTAGAAAGGAGACCAATGAATCCACAATGACCATGTAATAGAAGGAGTAGAATCTCATAGAAAAGGCCAAGGAGAGAAGAGGAAATGAGACTGTGGGTATATAATGAAAGTCTGAGACATTTATAAGTGGAAGGAGGAAAAAAATGGATAAACTACAAGAGGTATGGGAGATACACAAAATGAGAAGAAGAGGGGAGAATTTATGAATGCCTGAGTATGTAAGAAAAGAGAGCTATAACCATGGACTAGGGAGATGGAGAGAAGGAGAAGGCAGGTAAACTGAGGATGCCAGGGAGAAAGATTAACTAGGAGAGCAAGTTCCAAGGTGAACTAAGGAGGGATCTGATTAGAATACATAAAAGAAGGAAATGTATTCTTTCAAAAACCAAGCAAAAGAGTCTTAATATGGAGAGATTAAAAAGTCGAGTCAATATTAAGGTATGTGGAAGCTCATGTCAACTGTTCTGAGTCACATTTAGAGCTTAAAAACGTCAAGATTACTCTAAATGACATTTCAGAGGTGCCTCCCTATTTCTGACCAACTGAGATTTTACTTCCATTTATTCCCCATGGCTGGTTTTTCACTCACCTGGATGAATCTGAGTCTGGATTTCTTCCTCTATTATCCATGGCGTTCCTTGCTCCATCTGGTAGAATGCCTCTGCTTTGGTAACTTGATACCCTACTCAAGGAAAATTATAGACAACCTATGGGCCCAAATACTTGGGCTACAAGGCCTCTGAAAAATGGGGAAGATTACATTTAAGGGGCTGAATACTTTGAATCTTGGCCAAGTAAAGGCCTTTTTCTTTGGAAGTGAGAGAAAAATACTGTTAGCCAGAGATGTACTAAAATCTATGATGTATTAAACACAAGTCTAAAAAGTACGGCTCTTGTAAGGCTCCATCCCTTCATCATTGAGAAAGGAAAGGCAATTGATTCCCTACATTACCCCAGGAAAGCTCTGCTTACCCACTGATACTAGGTTGCTATAATTTTCCAACATCACATCTTGATACAGGTTCTTCTGAACGGGGTCCAGGAGCTGCCACTCCTCCTGGGTGAAAACCACAGCCACATCCTTGAATGACAGTGACCCCTGTAACAGAACATTCCTATTCATTCTAAAGGGATTATCATTGGTTAATACTATAAAGATAAATGGGAATTTCTTATAATAATTTTTCCCATGGTAAGTATTTGACTGCCTTCTGTATAACCAGTTTTGCATTATACTTTGTACAAAATACTAATTTTTTAGTTAAAACATCCTATCTCTGTGCTTCCATCCAATCATTCACTGACTCACATGTTCATTCATTCACAAAAGCAAAACAGAATATAGCATTCTTAAATCCTTTAATCTAGAAACCATTTACAACCCATGTATATGCACCTATATGTCAGACATTGTATTAGGCAATCCTTTATGAATAAGACTCACTCCTACCCCGAAGGAGCATATTAGTTTGCAAAGAGAGAAATGTAAGTGCATAAGAGTACAATACACTTTTACGGGGCAAGTAAGAAATATATGCCATGTGGGCGCCAATGGGAAGGAAGAAAATTATAAAGGTTAAACTTCACTGAGGTGAATTTGGAGCTAATTCTTGAGATCAACTTTATGTTTTACAATGAGTTGCAGAGGGGAGAGGTGGCATAGCATTCCAGAAAGAAGTAACATGAACAACAGCACAATGAAACAATGAGCATTCAGAACACTGCAAATGTTTCTTCTGAAGTTGTTGTGAAATTAAATGACTGAATTTAGAGCAGGTAGTGCACATTGTAGGCACTCAAAATTTTCACTTATTATTATTTGTTATTTATATGCTGATATGGAGAGATTTCCAAGGTACAGGATTAAGCGCATATAAGTTACAGAAAAGTACATAAACTGTAACCTCGATTATGACAATGTAGATTTTTAGCTTCTGTTCAGTAAAGGGTTAATCCAGCAGCCCTGGCATGCCCATGCCCTGCACGTTCCAAAGAAAGGCCTCTCTTCAAGAAGACTAGCCCTTGACTTGCTCCTGGGAGAGAACCTCTAAACCCCTGTAATATCCAGCCTGATAAAAGGGTTTTCATATTCCTGAGGCCCTGGGCTATGCTGTATCAGTTTGACTTCTGGAGGGCTGCAGACTGAGTAGCTAAGGTCAGTCATGTATGCTGAATGCCTGTGTTGACTGACTCCCAATAAAATCCCTGGACACCAAGGCTCAGGAGAGCTTCTTTGGTTGGCAACACTTTGCACCTGTTGTCACACATCATTGCTGGGAGAATTAAGTGGTGTTCATGCTACTGGAAGCCTCCAGATGAGTAAGCGGAAGCTCATGCCTCGTCTCTCCTGGACTCTACGTGTCTTTGCCTTTGCTGATTTTAATCTGTATCTTTTCACTGTAATAATCCATAACTGTGAGTATAAAAGCTTTTTTGAGTCCTGTGAGTTGAGTCCTAGAGAATCACTGAAACTGAGGATAGGCCAGGGACTCTCAGCTCAAATTCATACAAATTCACATTTACATATATAAATGCTGAGAAGTGAAGTCAGAAGAAAACACATAAAAGTTCTTAGATTGTTTACCTTGAGGGTGGTGGAAAAGGATTGATGGGGAACTTTTAGGTTTTGCTCTTTAACTTCTGTACTATTTGAAACTTTGACATTGAGAATACTCTAAGCTTCAATAATATAATTGGAAATTTTTTTAAATAGAAGAAATAGGTAAGTATTGACTATGTACTGAGAGTTGATGCTGCATTTTTGGGTGTGAAGAGATTATGAAGGGGATATTCTAAGATTTTACTAGTAAATCTAACTTGGAATTCTTTGCTAATCAATATAAATTGGAATTTCTCAACCTCAGCACTATTGACATTTTGGGCTGGATAATTCTTTGTGGTGGAGGCCCGTACTGTGCATTGTAGGAGGTTTAGCAGCATTCCTGGCCTCTATTCACTAGATCCCATTAGCATCCCTCCCCAGTTGTGACAATCAAAAATGTCTCCATACATTGTCCAATGTCCCCTGGGGGAACAAAATCATCCCCAAATGAGAACCACTGATTTAAATAAAAAACTGAATTTTGAGGGCTGTGTGTGGAAGACCATTTGATGGTCATAGAATCCATCCATTCTTCTTGATAATCCAGGTTTTATCCCTGGATAAAGTTGGACCACCAAGAGGCTCTAATTTGGGCAATACTGTTTTGAAACCCTGAAGCACGCTGATCACTAAATGTGGCTTTGGTATGACACCACTGGTTTATCTGAGGACTACTGAGAAATAACCAAAGGAAAGTTATCACTTTATTTATTAGTGGTTTGCTATTGAGGGCACTGAGCACTACATGATCTAAATAATGATCCATCACAGAAATTTCTTCCTACTCAAATGACATGAACTATTTACTTTCCTAGAGGACCTTTCTCCTTAAGGCAAAGCAAATCACCAATGATTTTTTATTATGGCCATGTGGTAGATTATATTTCCCAAAGATGACCACAATAGTATTTCCCATTCCAAAAAACCTTCTGCAAACCTTCTGCCACACCTCCATCAAGAGATGGAGCCTATTCCCCTCTCCTTGAATCTGGCTGGTCTTAGAGACTTGCTCATAACCAACAGAATGCAGCAAGAGTGACAAGTCATAACTTCCAAGGCAAAGACAGAAAAGGCTGTGCACCTTCAGTCTGGTTCTCTCAGAATCCAGCATAATGCTGTGAGAAGCCCACACCACATGGGGAGGTCATGCATAAGTAGTCTGGTCAACAGCCTCAGTTTAGCCTAGCATTTGAGTCATGCCATCTTGAATAGCAGACATGGGAATGAAGAAGCCTCCAGATGATTCTAGTCCCCATACTTTTAAGTTTCCAAGCTGAGGTTCCAGACATCATGATGTAGAGACAAGCTTGCAGTAAAAGATTAACACAGCGAGTCTGGGTTGTCCACACCTAGCACATGCCAAAGAAAGGTCTGGCACTTGCCTGTTTGTGGGAAGTAACCTCTAAGCCCTTGAAATATCTTTGTTTACCTGCGAGCCTTGGGCCACACCAGATAGTCTACGCTATCAATATGATTTATGGTGGGGGCCTTGGGCCACACTGTAGCAGCTTGACTTCTGAAAGGGGTGGAGACTAAGGTCAGCCATTCATGTAATCAGCTTTGCCTATGTGACTGACCACAAATAAAAACTCTGGACACTAAAGCAATACTCAATGTGTGTCGTTACACATCACTGCTGGGAAAATTAAACACTGTCTACAAGACTCCACTGAGAGAGAACAATTGGAAACTTTCACCTGGTGTCTCCTGGACCTGGCCTTATGCACCTTTCTCTGTTGCTGATTTTAATCTGTATCCTTTTGCTGTAATAAACTATAATCATGACTATAACAACATTGCTGAGTACTGTCAGTTCTTCTAGCAAATCACTGACCCTGAAGGTGGTCTTGGGAACCCAAAAATATCCAAGACATCACCATGTGGCTCACTTCCTGACCCACTGAATCCATGAGGATGAGGACAATAAATTTTCACCACTAGGCTTTGGAGTGGCTTGTTATGTAGCAATAGATAACTGGAACAACGAATACTAGAGACGAGTTTGCAGCTCAATTTTATTAACTATTTAGAACCTCACAGGATATAATCTATGTTCTAACTTTAAATGATTGTATACACATATGCATTCTCATTGCAACCTGGCTGTGAAGTTGATCTTTTGTCTCAATATTTCTTCCTGAATTCTGACATTTATCTTTTCATGCTGTATCTGGTATAGAGTAGTATTCATAAATATTGAATAAACATATTCTTTTATTTATTTATTTATTTATTTATTTATTTATTTAGCGAGGAGGACTAGCCCTGAGCTAACTTCCGACACCAATCCTCCCCTTTTTTCTTGAGGAAGATTGGCCCTGGGCTAACATCTGTGCCTGTCTTCCTCTACTTTATATGGGATGCTGCCACAGCATGGCTTAACAAGCGGTGTGTTGCTGCGCGCTCAGGATCCGAACCTGCGAACCCCGGGCCACCACAGCAGAGCATGTGCACTTAACCACTGCGCCACCAGGCCGGCCCCAAACATATTCTTTTAATATATGTATTATTAAACCTCCTCAAACCTACTGGAAAGCCAAATGGAAAATAAACGTATAGAGAGACAACTCACTTGGGACTTGAACATTTTCTGGAGCCCTTGGACACAGCCAGAAACTCTAATATCTGCTCTGTTGTTGATTCTGGGCTCTTCTCTGAAGCTCTAGTTCAAGGTCTCTGGTCAAGGATATAGTGTTGATCTTGGTACTTTCACTTTCTTCCCTCATAGGAACTATTTTATCCCAGGAAGCCAGGACCTGGGGAGGACAGAAATTCACTGCTGTAATAAACTGTAACTGTGAGCACAACAGATTTTTTTGAGTTGTGTGAGTCTTTATTTGTATGTGTGTATGTATTTTAAATATACACACATATATAAATATCTAAAATTTAACTGTGTTTTCTTCAGGGGGTAGGCTAATATGATATGCTAAAGAAAAAAAAGTAATACATATTGCCTGATGGTTTATTTTACAATAAACATATAATTAGTTCATAATAAAGAAATACAAAGCTTTCTTCATTATATTATGTAATTTTACCAAAATTGTACTCAAACCTAAATCTACATTTAGAGAAAGACTGTTATAAAGAAATAGGGGGGAAAAAGTCAAATGAGAAGTTTTTAAAAGCCAAAAAAATCCAGAAAAACAGATATAAATACTGGAATAATGCTTGCTAACCTGTCTTGGGTACCTGCTATGTGCTAGGTACACTAACTGTCTGAATAATTAGTACTGACTATTTTTTTTAAACAAATGGGAAAAGAATCTCAGAGAGGTTGAGAAACTTGCCCAACTTCACACAGGAAGTGGCAGAATATGGATAAAAACCTGCCCATATCCAAAGTCCATACTCTTTTCTCTGAGCTAAACTTACCTGCAGGTGTTCTGACTGCTTACCTGGAAAACCTACAAGAATCAAGTGAAACACATTAGAAAATAAGAGTTCAGTAATGAAATGAAAGATAAAATGCTCAGAAATGAAAGATAAAATGTTTTTAAAATTAGCTCCTTTTATACCCACCAGAAAATAAAAAATAATAAAAAGTTCAAGGGAAAGAGAAGCTATTTACAAGGGTAGCAAACATACATAGGCTCTAAGAAATAAACCTAACAAGCAATGTCCAGACCTATATGAATATTTTAACATGTCATGTCTATCCAAATTATTGCAAAACTTCAGTCAACGTTGCAAGGAGATCCACAACATTGAATACTATGCAGCTACCAACAAGACTTTGTACCAAAAGTCAGTAATACTAGAACAATTTCATCATACAAGGCTGTTTCTTTTAAGAAGCAAATTACAAACTACATATTACAAACTACATATGCAGTGTTATCATATCTTTGTAATAAAATGAGTCATAGAAAAGGAAATATACCAAAATTTTTAAAATGTGTATCTCTGAATATCAGGATTTTGGATGTGGGAATGTCCTCTCATGTATGTAAGGACCAAAAAGGGAAGATCCCAGAGAAATATGCAGTAAATTTGGAGACCAGAGGGCCTGACACCACATCTTTCATAATAAACATTTTACCTTAGATTTGTTTAGACCTTGATCATTGCAAAGCATTTTTCATTACTGTGGAGACAGTGAAAGGAAGAGGTGATTTAGAGGACAGAGGAAGTTAGAAAGCAAGTTTTGAAGAAGGCACTAATATAACCTATGAGAAGTCAATGAGCCTTAAAACCCCAAAATGCAGACACTTGTCAAGCTCCAACTCCCATAAATCTCTCAGGTGTCAATGCTTAACATACCCAAAATATGGGCCACCGGCTACTTCAGTTCATACTTCATGAGTTCCATCAGATTATCACTGGCCTATTCAGACCCAGACCCAAACACTCAGACCCCCATGACTCTCAGTGACCATTGGAGACCCTTAAACACAAGAAATAAAGCTGCCCAGGCAGCTATCAACAGCACAAGGCCCCCCTATTTACTGACCACCCTCAATGGCCCCCCAATCACTGACTTCCTTTCCCAAACACTGACCTAAGCCAAAAACATCAAAAACACTGAACTACCCACCAAGGATGTTTCAGTCACTGACTTCCCTTCATGGACACTCCCATTAGTAAACCCTCCCACGGACGTCCCTATCACTGACGGTCACTAACCTTCTTCCAGGAATGCTCCAGTCGCTGACATCCCCCCCAAGGCCGTCATAAGAACTGATCTTCCCCCAGAAGACTTTTTCAGGCACTGACACACCCTCAAAGACACCCCAGTTCCTGACTTCCTTCAAGGACACCCCAATCACTGACCTCCTGTCATTCGCCCCCCTTCACTGACCTTCCCCTGAAAGAGGCTCCAACCATCGACCTATCTCCTAAGTGCATCTCAATCACTGACCCACCCCCTAGGTCACGCCAATCACTGATTTGCCTCCAAGACCGCCCAGGTCACTCACCCCCTCCAGAGGCTACCCGAAGCCACTCCAATCTTTCTCCAGGCCACTCCAATCCCTGACCATTCCTCTCCCTCAGTCACGGAAGGCATCCCCGCCCCACAGCGGCTTGCTCGTCTCAGGGACTCCTCACAGCCCTCCCCTACCACAAACCACAAATCTCCACAAACCCAGCTCAACCTGATTCCGCTCCCAAAACGGGAAAATGAGACCCCTTAACAGAGTCTTCGCGCACCAGCTGGGTGGGTAGAAAGAGCCACGGTCCATCACTTCCGCTTCAGACTCAAGAAACCCTGCTGTTCCACCTCACTGGTCAAGTTTAACCTCTGCAGCACCCGAGTCTGCAGGCTGCCAACCACCACCCCGGGGTGTCCTTCCACAGACGAAGATTCGGTTCAGCTTTCGGGTCCTTTAGACAAAAGACACTATGAGAGAGTATGGCGGCACCCTGTTAGCGGATTTATGCGGGAGCCGCCATCTTGGAAGGCCGTCCGTACACTCCCTTTTCCTGCCGAAGAAAACGTTTCTTGTCCGCGTTACGTCAATCACTAGCGCCCCAAATGGGGATGTGCGTGCCCGTCTATGCGTGACCAGGGTTCCATGCCCTTCAGCAAGGCGCACCAAGCCCAAAGATGTCCGTCTGCGCTTTGCCGCTGGTAGGTGCGAAGCAGCCCAACTTTACAGTGGGCGCGGCCATCTTGGAAAAGGTGCACATATCCGTACAGGAAAGGAAGTCGACCGAAGCGGGTTGGGAGCAGGTGGAGCTAACGCGGGGAATGCTTCTGGAGAACAGTATAGGGTTTGAAGAAGCCAAGGTGGTACGGAGAACGCAGCATGCCTCACTGTGGGCAAAGAGTAAGCAAATTTAGTTGAAGGAAAAGATCTTCTCCAACCAGGATTGGTAGTGGGGTTTAGGTGACATCACCAGGGCGAAAGGTGAAGGGAAAGAGCTAGTGGGAGGGTAGAGCTAATAGACACGGCGGGGCTATACTTTTAACCAAGGTGGAGAGTGGTGAAATGGGAAAAAATAGAAGCCCAGAAATGGTAGAAATTTTTGTGCAGGCTTTATCTCAGCTCAAATGTTTTCACATATAATTTCTAGTGAAGAAATTATTAGAATTGGAAATGTGGAGTCGTGGAGTCAAAGAGAATGAAAAATTTTAATTGGGTAATTACAGATTGTTGTCCAAAAATGTTCTATTAATTAATACTTTACTGGCTGCTATCTTTCCTCCCCCAAGAACTCCAACTTAAAACTAATGGCTGTTGACTGAAATAAAGAGTCCAGATAATATTAGTGAAGGAGTTTATTCAATAATCAGTGTGAGGAGTTCGAGTTCTGGGAAACAGTTCAACAGAGTGCACTGATGGAACTGCTCCAAGGTGTCTGGGTTTAAGTCCAGCTTATATCTCTTTTACAAACAGTGTACGTGCGAAAAAGAAAAAAACCTTACAACTAATTTTCATTTATGTCAAAAGTGATAGAGTACATCTGGTTTTTCTCTAGATTATACATTAAACATAACCTAAACAAGAATTTCTTGGCCTCAAACAAGGCCTAGGATGCTGATGTTATCTATGTATGGAGGGAGGCAAGGACCAGGGTCATTAACTATTCTTTCAATCTCTAAGAAATGCAGCTGGGTATGTAGGAAATAGGTACCCTTTATCTACCCTTGTTGCTGATGTCTCCAGCTGGCGTCCTCAATCATGAGGTCAGGAATTATAAAATACATTCTTAGACAGGCCTGCATGGCTGCTTCACAGTACAACATGGATTCTTGTACTGACTTAAGCCTATGCAGTTTGTTTGTTAGATTTACCTATGAGACCAGGGAGAGGGTCCCAGATTTTGTTCACATAGCTAATTTTTATTAAGTATATACACAGTTTTTCTTATTTATTTATTTTTTTTGTGAGGAAGATTGGCCCTGAGCTAACATCTGTTGCCAATCTTCTTCTTTTTGCTTGAGGGAGATTGTCCCTGAGCTAACATCTGTGCCAGTCTTCCTCTATTTTGTATGTGGGACACTGCCACAGCATGGCTCGATGAGTGGTGTGTAGGTCTGCACCCGGGATCCGAACCCACGAACCCCAGGCCGCCAAAGCGGAGTGCATGAACTTAACCACTACACCACTGGGCCAGCCTCAAGTGTATAAGATTTTAAACAGGGAACGATTTCAAGTGTAATAATTACATTATTTTAATACTCTGAAAGCTATAGATGGTGGACATGAATATTATTGTCACTTTACAAAATAAAAAAAGAAAGGCTATCAGAATGCCTGTTTCCTCACCACCTCATCAATCTTTTAATCTTTGCCCATCTTAAGGATGAATAAAAATCTTATTTTAGTTTTATTATTTTATAAATTGCTTCTTTATTTCCTTCCTTTTTATTCTATTTTGGTTGATGTCTTTTTCTTAATCGTGTTGTGGATATTTATACCTATTAATTGTACCCCCATTCTCCCCATCTCTAAGCAACCACTAGTCTACTTCTGTCTCTATAGATTTGCCTATTCTGGATATTTTATAAGTGCAATCCTATAACATGTAGTTTTTATGACTGGCTTCTTTCATTTGGCATAATGTTTTCAAGGTTCATCCATGCTATAGCATGTTTCTGTACTTAATTACTTTTTATACCTGAATAATACTCCATTGTATGGATATAGCACTTTTTATTTTTCCCTCCAGTTAATGGATATTTGAATGGTTTCCACTTTTGGCTGTTATAAGCAATTCTGTTATAAACATTTGTGTAGAAGTTTTTGTGTGGACATATGTTTTCATTTCTCTTGAATATAAACTGTGGACAGATTTTTGGCCCCTCTCCCTGGTCTAACAGGTGAATCTAGCAAGCAAATTGCATAGACTTTAAGTCAGTACAATAAAATCCTTGCTGTACTGTGAAGCAGCCGTGCAGGTCACCTTCAGCCTGTGTCAAAATGACTTTGCAACTGCAACATTTTGCATTTCGTCAGTTTATAAGGTTTCCAATTCTTCAACATGCTCACCAACACTTGTTTTTTCATATAAATGAAATCATTTAGTTTGTACTTTTCCTGTTTGGCTTCTTTTCCTCAGTGTGATGTTTTTGAGATTTATCTATGTTGTTGCATGCATCTGTATTCCATTGTATGATTATACCACAGTTTGCTTACCCATTCGTATATTGATGGACACCTGGATTGTTTCTTGTTTGGGGCTATTATGAATAAAGGTGCTATGAACATTCTTGTGTAAGTCTTTGTGAGATTATATTTCAGTATTCTTGAGTAAATATCTAGGAGTGGAATTGCTGCCTCATAGGGTTCTCAGTTTTATTTTGCAATTCAAAAGTTTAGGAGGTAGTTTTGTAAAGTTTTTTACTCTTTCAAAGATTTTGATATTTTAAGTAACATGGATATACTGATAATGGATTTTTCATTTGGGGGCACTGTGTATAGATTTGTCATGAAGGAAGGGTCAAAACAACTCTCCTACAAACACAGTCCTCCACACTCATGCATTTCCTTTTCCCTTTCTTCCAATACAGTTATTTGTGAATTTTGGTTGCATGAGATTTAGTGTTTACATTATGATGACTATGTAAATACTATTTATAGCTCATCATGTAGTATATGTAAAGGAAACTGGGACCCCTCTCCCTGGTCTAACAGGTGAATCTAGCAAGCAAGCCACGTAGGTAAAGTCAGTATAAAAATCCATGCTGTACTGTGAAGCAGCCGTGCAGGCCATGTGAAGCTTGTGTTAGAATGATCTTGCAACCCCACCCCTCATGACTGAAGATTCCAGGTGGACAGATCCACACAGGAAATGATAAACGCTACCTCGCTCTCACGCTTCCCAGCTGCATGTCTTAGAAACTGAGAGAAAAAGTAAGGACCCTGGCCCTTGCCTCCTTCCACACATAGATAACACCAACACTCCAAGCCTTGTTGGATGTATAACCAAAAAGCTCTTGTTTATGTTATCTTTAAAGTATGGAGGTACTAAATGTGTGAGCCCTCTTTGGCACATACACTGCTTTGTTAAAAAAGGTGTATAAACTACACTCGTTATCTGTGGACCTTGGAGCAGTTCCTCAGAATCCTCTGTTGGACTATTTCCTGGGATTGGAATTCCTCACTTTGATTATCAAACAGTCTCCCTTAATTAACCTTTACCCAGACTCTTTATTTCAGTCTACAAATACTATGTTCACTTTTCCTTTTTTGCACAACCTTTTAATCTCCCTGGTGTTCTTATTTATTCCTTCCACAAATTCTGGCCTTTGGTTCTGAGGAAGCCCCGCCCTTGATATTGGCTTCACCCATGGCACAGGAGAAGCCTGGCACCACGTGTGGAGAAACTCCCACCTCTCATCGGATTCTCTCTCCCCATTGGCTCCTGACTGCTCCCCTCACCTTTATTCGCTGGTAACCACGTCCTACCCCCCAAAGTTAAGCTAGGTTTCTTTCAATCGCAGTTCTTCACTTCCTTTGATGGCCTTATCAGTATGCCCCTACCGGGAGTGCTTCTCCAGGCTCTTTTCCGTCCTCAGAATCTTCCTCCTGCCCTTCACATTCAGCCAGAAGCGTTCGGAGGAATTTGCCTTTCGGCGTGTAGGTTTGCTCTTTTTCCCGCGCTGAAAAGGCATTTTGTACGGACACTAATTTCTAAGATGGCTGCGCCCACTGTTTCGGTCCCAACTCCTCCTTTGTGCAATGTGGATTACTTTTCTCCCCAGCCCGTTGAGGTGGACATAGCCCACTCCATGTTTGTCTCATGTAACCTCGAGCTTCTGAAAATCGGTACAGTTTGCGGCGCAGGGTTTAAAGTGCTGAGAAATGGGGTAGTCTCAGTGGCTTCTCATCGGTCGGAGGCTGCCACTTCCCCTTCTGTACGTCAAACATTGCAAGATGGCCGCCCCCAGCGTCCGCGGCGAGTTGGGCGCGGACATATTACCCCCTAAGGCGAAGCCGGAAATCCAGGTGTCCGTGTTCCGTACCAACGCCTGAGACCCTCGTCGGCCGCCGTAGGCCGGCGCGGAGGCTGGGCGAGGGCGGAGTTGAGTAAGAATTCACGGAAGTGCGGCTTCTAGGAGGTCGCGTTGGGGTCACGAGAAGATCAGGTCAGTGTGTGGCTGTCTCGGTGGAACAGGGTGAGAGGGCCAAGGCGTCTGTGAGTGTCCGGGTAGGGTAGAGGACCGTGGAGTCCGTGGGCGGAGAGGAAGCAAGTGGGAGTTGGCGGCTGGGGTGTCTGGTTGGGGTGCCTTTGGGGTCAGTCCTGAAAGATTCTGGTGGTCAGGGATTAAAGGCCGGTGGAGATCGACGATTTTAAGTCCGTGGGGAGAGTTTGGTGTACTGTCTGTAGTGTAGTGATTGAGGACTGGGGTGGGGAGTAGTTTTGTCAGTGAAAGCTGTGAGTGGTTGGATTCGGGATTAAATATGAGGCTCGGTGACAGGAGGAGGGGCTCATGGTCAGTACACGCCGGTGTCTGGTCCAGGTTTCAGGATTATTCCTAAGGGGTGTGACTGCTGCTTGAGGAGGTCCAGGTGTGTCAGTCACTGGGAGGGCTGAAGCTGGTTGGTGGGTGGGTTGAAGTTCCAACGTTCCTTTCTCCCTCAGTCCTTCAGGTCCCAGCCCCTCTTCATGGCCTAGTTTGCAAATCGCCTTTGGCTTCCCACATCTCTTCCTCTCCACTGTGTAGATATGACAGCTTTGTTGGAGATCGAGGATTAAGCACATCTAAAGTGGTAAGGTTTCTACTAATAATGAGGATTTTGTCTTTCCTGCAAGTTTACTGTGTGTATACACGCGCGCGCGCGCACACACACACACTCTTGTACATATTTCAGCATCATTCTAATACAAGTAAAATAACGTCTTTTACCCAGTTCTGTTCCCCAATGGTAACATTTGTTAAATTTTTCATATATTTCCCTTTTAGTCTTCATTTTTCTATGCTTGATTTTCACAATTCCAATAAACTGCTGAAATATTGGTAAAATTAGCCTTGTCCATTTAATTTCATATCATAAATATTGATATAATAAAATTTTTTCTTTAAAAAAATTTTTTTTGTAAATTTCTGTAACAGTATACTAAGAGGCAAACCGTGCCATTATGAGCGGAATCACTCAATATGTGCATTCGTTTAGATAGAATTTAAGTACTTAAGATTATCACTTAAGTACTTAAGTTATCACTATTGGGAGCAGGTTATGATTCTGCATTTACTCAGGGGTGTGGTTCCCTGTCTCTCATCTCCACCTTAATTTTTAATTTTTTTGCCATTGTGAATGGCGTCTTTTTTACCTTTGACCTTTTTTTTCTCTTCTTTCAATTTACTATTACATAGAAGAGCAATTGCATTAAAAATATTTATTTTGTTTCTGAACTCTTTTTGTTATGAGCTTCCCGGTTCCTCATGACTTTATTCTGAAAATTTTCAAACACATAGCAAAGTTTAAAGAATTTTACATTTGAATATCTGTATCCCTATCACCTAGATTTTATCATCATGATTTTATTGTGTTTCCTTTATCACATATCTATCCATATGTTACTCCTCTACTTGTCTTTAGTCTATCTTTTTACATTTTTTAGTGTATTTCAACATAAGTTGAAAACATTTATACATTTCCCCCAAATACTTCCTTAAGCTTATAATTAGAGTTCTACTCATAGCTTTTTTCTAGTAATAGCTTTATTATTCACATATGATAAAATTCATCCGTTTAAAGTGTCCAATTCTGTGGGTTTTAGTATATTCACAGTTATGTGCAACCATCGCTACAGTCAATTTTAGAACAATTTCATCACTTCAAAAAGAAACCCTCTAGTTACCACCCCTTATCCTTCTATTCCCCTCACCTCCAAGCAACCACAAATCTACTTTCTGTCTCTATGGATTTGCCTATTCTGGACATTTCACATAACATGTGGTCTTTTGTGATTGGCTTCTTGTTTTTGAGGTTTATCTGTGGTAGCACGTATATGTACTTCATTCCTTCTTATACCTGAATAATATTCCATTGTGTGGATCCAGCACATTGTGTTTTCCTTTCGTCAGCTGATGGCTGTTTGGCTTGTTTCCACATTTTGGCTATTATAAATAATGTTGCTATAAAACATTTGTGTGTGAGCTGTCATGTGGACATGTTTTTACTTCTCTTGGGTATAAACCTGGAGTAGAATTGCTGGGGCATGGAGTAAATATGTTTAATTGTTTGAGGAAATACAGACTGTTTTCCAAAGTGGCTGCGCCATTTTACATTCCCACCAGCAGTGTATGAAGGTTCCAGATCCTCTGCATACTCACCACCACTTGTTATTTTCATGTTCTTATTATAGCCATCCTAGTGGGTGTGAAGCGGTATCTGTGGTTTTTATTTGCATTTCTCTGAAGACCAATGATGTTGAGCATCTTTTCATGTGCTTATGCTATACGTAACTTTGAAGTACATATCTTTTCACTAAATATGTATTGTTAGCATTTTTAATAACTGCATAGTATTTCACTGGTTGTGTGTACTTGTACTTATTCAATTAATCCTTTATTAGTAGACTTAAATAATACCTTCACATCAACTTTGCATGTATGTGCCATTATTTCCTTTGCAAAAATTCCTAGGAGTAGATTTTTGGATTCTAGTAATAACTCTGTTGAAAGTATTCAATACAAAGTGTTAAACTATTTTCCAAAAATATTCAGTCATGCAACACTGCTATAAGAAGTGTGAGTTTTGAAATGCTATCAGTTTTTAGATATAAATTCTATAATTAGCCATCTGACTAAAACTTATTTTTGATCTATGTTGACTCGAATCTCTGAAACTCTGACTCTTGCTCAATCATATTGGGGGAACTTCTTATAATTGCTCCCTGTTATCTAATATTGACTAATTTTACTTGATTCTTTATCAAATTAACTGGGTAGCATTTCCAGAATAGTTATAGATAATGGTGGCGATACTGCTCATCCTTGCCTTGCTTTTGGCTTTAGACAAAGTACTTATATTGTTTCACTGGACGTTTGTAGGATGTATTTGATTTTTTTTTAAATTAAGGCAAAATCCACAAAGCATAAAATTAACCATTTTGAAGTCGGCTTTTAGTGCATTCACAGTATTGTACAACTACCCACTTCTATCTAGTTCCAGAACATTTTTATCGCCCCAAAAGGAAATCTTGTACCCATTAAGCAGTCACTCCACATCCCCGCCTTCCCCAGACCCTGGCAACCACCAATCTGCCTTCTGTCTCTATGGATTTACCTATTCTGGATATTGCGTACACATGGAATCATATAATATGTGACCCTTGTGTCTGGCTTCTTTCACTCACTTGGCATACTGTTTTCCTAGTTGTATGTTATGTCCTGGGGTACTCTTTTGGTGCTTAGCTAGGCCATTTACAACCCTGTCTTAGCCTTCATTTCCTGCTTACACTGAACATAGAGATCAGCCAGAGGGAAAGCTTAGGATCTTCTCAGGTCTTTTCTGAGCAGGCGTTGCCCTGTGTGTGTACGTGGCTTTATGAATTCCCCAGTGTACACTGGTGCTTTTGAATAGCCTAATTTCCCAAAGAAACTCTCTTCTTCCCAGCCTTTCAGCTGTGCCTCAACTATAATCTTTTGTTCCAGGCAGCTACAGGTTGTTCGTCTGCCTTAGAAGGTTTTTGAGAAATGCCTGCTGCTTTTCCTCCCTGAGTGAATTCCAAATTAGGTGAAACAGGGATGAGCATGTTGCATCCATCCTTCAGGTAGGCCCAAGACAGGTTAGAAGAGACAAACACCTTTCTTTTCGAATAAGGTCTGCTCTGCTCCTTCTAGGACCTAACCAGGGTCTCACTCTGGGAAGGCCGGCTGCCATCTCCAAGACCACCACCAAACTGGGGAGGGGGTGAAGAAAAGGCAAATCAAAATGGCACAGGGCTTTCCTACCATTCTTTTTTTTTTTTTTTTGATGAGGAAGATTGGACCTGAGCTAACATCTCTGCCAGTCTTCCTCTATTTTTTGTGTGTGGGATGCCGCCACAGCATGGCTGGATGGGCAGTGTGTAGGTCCGCGCCTGGGATCTGAACCTGCGAACCCCAGCCACTGAAGTGGAGCGCGAACTTAACCACGACACCACTGGGCCGGCCCCTTTCCTACCATTTTTAAGTTGCCTTTTTCTTCATTCAGAGTTCACTCTGTTGCTATGAACACTTTGACTGTTTTTCAGCGTTCTGACAGTTTTTACTTGATATTTTGATGTTTCTCTGGAGGGATGAGCCCTTGGAACTTCCTACTCTGCCATTTTCACTCAGTGAGATTTTCCTCCATGATGTGCTTGATTGTTTTTTGTCATTGGCACTTTTTTAAAGAAAGAAACTGATACAAATGCAACTTAAGTTATATCCTGTCATCCATCTCCTTCTTCCCTCCCCAGAAATAACCGCTTTCTTGAACTTGTTTTATATAATGCATGGTTTTTCACGTTTACTAAACGTGTATATGCACAAATGATAGTTTTGTTCTATATGTTTTAATTTTTTTTCTATTAGTTTTCCTTTGTTTCTTTCACATAATGATTAGTGAAGATGGTCTGTTAGATAATGCTTTGCTTAGTAAATTTGTCTTCAAACTGAGGTGCGTCTACACATTAGGTGTACAAAGACTTCTGAACAGGTACATGAGCACACCTGGTTCTAAAGAAATAGATGTCCTGGGGCCAGCCTGGTGGCATAGCAATTAAGTTTGTGTGCTCCGCTTCGGGCTGCCCAGAGTTCGCAGGTTCAGATCCTGGGTGCGGACCGACGCACTGCTTGTCAAGCCATGCTGTGGCGGCGTCCCCATATAAAGTAGAGGAAGATGGGCACGGATGTTAGCCCAGGGCTAATCTTCCTCAGCAAAAAAATAAAAAATAAAGGAATAGATGTCCAGATCCTCACCTTTTATATGTTCTCTTCCCCAAAACTGCTCTGTGTGGGAAGCCCCCTGCGGCGGGCGCATCGTGCTGTGCTAGTTCTCCTTTTCCATCTCCCCTCTCACGGTCACCCCACTTCCACTTCACAGAAAGAAGACAGATTCAGAATCTTATGTGTTATTGCTCCAGAGTATAATAGTCTCTGGGGCTCCGAATAAAGGGACAGATGGCCTTCAAATCAGGTGAGTGACAGTAGCAGTGACAACATCTGGGGCCAGAGGAACTGTACACTCAAAGTGAATTTACTTTTCAGCCCACAGGTCCCGGATCCAGGAGCAAGATACGTCAAGTGAAGTGAGGAGGAGATTTCAAGACCTGGATATCATCATTTGTGGGGACACCATTGACCAGAGACTAAGATTTCTAACCTGAAATTTAGGGCAGTTCAAGAAAAGACTAGAGACACAGCATCCGAGTTACTGGCCATTTCCCAATAACAGAAGAAAATGATCAAGGACCAGGTGACTTCTGATTTGTTTTATTCTTTCCTTCATTCTGTGGTTGATTTCTGGAGGACTTTAAAAGTCAATTGAATTAATTGGAAGAGTATAAATTGGTAAAGTAGGATTGGTGCAGAAATAAATTTAGACTCTAACTTCAACATAAGGCAAAGTAGGATCGTGGGTATATAGTTCATAGGATCTACACTAAGTGACTAATGTTGGCACATCATGTGTGACTAAAGAATCTTACGGGTTGTATTAGCTGTCAACTTATGTCTGATTTCTCTGACAGCCATCACATCCTGTGGGAATTATGATGATCACAGAATATGCACTGACTCTGGGGAGAAAGCAGACCAGTTCCTCAGAGGATGTCACTGTGTAATTCATGGCACTTAGGTCTCAGGACTTTTTAAAAAGGATTCTTCCTAGAGGTGATATGGTAGACAATGTCCTTAACTTCAACCTTCTCGTAAATGCAAGAGCCACGTTCCTCAGAGACCCCTTTGTGAACAGACCAAGAGAACTCAGTAGGCACAGTTCTTCATGGGACCATAAGGTGACCCGTGGATCCAGCCTTGTGGTGGTCAGGGTTAATCTAGGAATAAAACCTAGATGACCTAAGAAAAGGGAAGAATTGCATGACTTTCAAAGGTCCTGTATGAACAGGTGGCTGACCCGGTATTTGAGTTCAGATTTGGCAGTGAGGAGTTGAAAGTGCTGTTGTCTGTTAAAGTTGTTGGCATCCCAGAGGATTTGCTGTAGAACTTCTCCCTATCTAAGATAGTACACTCTCCTTACCTGTAATCAAAGCCAACCCTACTGCTCATCTTCTATTGCCTTTTAAAAATGTAATCATACAAATGTGCCTGGATTCATTTTTAAAACTCCAGGGATTACAAAGTTCATAGAGCAAAAAAGTAAAATTCCTCGTCATACACTTCTTTTCTAGTCCTCTAGTGTGGCTGAACAAATGGACAGTAGTGTGTACTTCCTGTCACTGTACTGTGTGTCCATCTATGTCTGTATAGATATTGACAGATGCATCTGTCTCAGCCCTTAGATCTTTGGGTAGTGCCTTTCCATTATTGTATTTGCTCTTTCATAAACTGAATTGGGAAACGTTAGACCTTACTGTATCCTCTATATTTATTATTCTCTCTTTTCTATATTCCATTATTTTGTTCTTGTGCTGCATTTTTTTTTAATATAAGCTCCATTGTGCAGCATGAGGTTTTCTATTACCAACAATTGAGCAGGAAGTTTTTTTTTTTCCACGGGGAAAGATTCGCCCTAATCTAACATCTGTTGCCAGTTTTCCTCCTTCCTCCCCCCCGCCCCCACCAAAGCCCCAGTACATGGTTATGTATAGTTGTAAGTTCTTCTGGTTCTTCTATGTGAGCTGCCGCCACAGCATGGCTATTGACAGATGAGTGGTGTGGTCCCACGCCTGGGAATAGAACCCAGGCTGCTGAAGCAGAGTGCACCGAACTTGAACTGCTAGGCCCTCAGGGCTGGCTCATCCTTGTGCTGCATTTTGAGTAATTTCTTCAGATTTACCTTCCAGTTCATTATCTCTTCAATGTATCTGATATGCTGTGAACCTGCCTGGTAATGTAAATATAAATTATATGTGTATATGTATTTATATGTTTTTTGAAGGATGCTGTTTATTTTCTTAGCTTGCTTAATGTTCTTTAGTAGTCTCTGGTTCTTTGGACATGTTTTGGGAAGATGCTTTTATTCCTCCTAACATATAACACACTTATTTAATATATACTATCTTGTAATTATTGTGTCTGGAGTTTCTTCATGGTTGATTCTGATAATGGTTATGAAGATTCATGGTGAATACAGGAATGTGTTTTATTCATCCTGATATCACTAGAATATATTTAATGGCTACCAAATATTTGCTTGCTTCAAAAAAATATATATATAGCAAATGCTTCAAATATATATATTGCAGATGTTTCTAGTTTAGCAAGAGGATTTAATGCTAATTACAGACACTTCTGATTTGTTGAATGATGGTTGGCCGCACAATTACAGAATATTTTTCTAGACGTAGGTTCGAACATGGATAGATTTGGCTTCTTTAACAATGTAGTTTAAAAAAATCAAAACACCTAAGTATATAGATGCTGCAACCTATATGGTGAAAATGAGCAGAACAACTTCCTTCACATTCTTTCTATTTCAGTAACTAGAGAAACACTCATATTAAACAGGACCGTGTTATTACAGGAATTGCTGACACTGGAGGATGTGGCTGTGGACTTCACTAGGGAGGAGTGGCAGCTCCTGGCCCCTGCTCAGAAGGACCTATACCGGGACGTGATGTTGGAGAACTACAGCAACCTAGTGTCAGTGGGTGAGGACAGCTTCCCTGTGTCACTCAGAGGGTCCCCAGTCAATGGCCTTTCCATTCTCAGCTTCTGAAAGTTCTGGAGTGTCTGTGGTACTCTGAAGTGGTAGATTCTCAGTCTCCTCTCTGGTCCCAGATTAGAGAGTATAATGTGCCCTCTCCTGAGAGAAAAGCCTTTACTTTGCCAACCTGCAAATTGCATAGTTCCTAAAATATAGCACTCTTCCATGTTGGCAGGCCACAGCCCAATTCAAAGAGCCTACCCCTTCTGTCATTTCCCACGAACAGGGTATCAAGGCAGCAAACCAGATGCACTCTCCAGATTGGAACGAGGGGAACCATGGACAATGGAAGATGAAATCCACAGTCAAACCTGTCCAGGTGAGTGAGAGAGAACCAGCAAGGAGGGTGCTGAGGAAGTCATATTCTAGTTATTCAGAGGTGTCACAGCTGTGAGAGTGTCTGAGGACATGTAAACTGAGCCTCCACAAATCTCCCATAGAAGAGCTCTTTTTCCTTTAGGTGTTTAGAGGATTTCACCTCTTATTATTTCATCTAGGTCTCAATTTGTTTTCCTCTTAGAATTCTCAAATCTTACTATCCTTCTTCCCCCTTCTTCACTATATCACTACCTATTCCTTCTACTTTTCTTGCTATGGAATTCCACCTTCCGCCTCTCTCCAGTGAGAGATATTTGATGTTAGCACTGTCTTATGGCTGCTGCACCTTCCTGCTCCTTTGGATAATGTTGATTTCCCTCCCTAACATCTGCCCTGTCTTGGATTAGGGGTTAGGATTTCTACATGTAAATTTAGTAGGGGACATAAACTTTGAGTCTGTAGTACCTTCTGTTATTTACATCACGTATCCTGCCTGTGTAGGTAAACAGTCCTCCATCTGTGTTTCTCCTTCACTCTCACACCACTACCACACTCACAACACTTCTGACACCAGATGTGTGGGTTTTTCCCCACAATGAGCAATTCTCTGTGACACCAGCTGGGTGTCCTACAATTTAATTCAATTCGGACACTAGCTGCCTGTAGACAGCATCAGATCCCAAGGTTAAGGGCTCAGCCTGGCAAGACTGCCCACACCTCCACTTCAGACACCAATCAGAAGTCCAGGTGGTCACCTGTGCCTCTGACCGACTGGGTATAGATCAGAGGTTCCCACAGCCCCCTCTCTGGGTTTGATTAATTTGCTAGAGTGACTCACAGAACTCAGAAAAACATTTTACTGACTAGATGACTGGTTTATTATAAAAGGATATAACTCAGGAACAGCCAGATGGAAGAGATGCATAGGGCAAAGTATGTGAGAAGGGGTTTGGAGCTTTCATGCCCTTTCCGGGCCCACCATTCTCCACGAATCTCCATGTGTTCAACAACCTAGAAGCTCCCCGAACTCCATACTTTTGGGACTGTGCGGAGGCTTCATCATGTAGGCACAATTGACCATTAGCTCCATTTCCACCCCTTCTGCCTGCTTCAGAGAATGGAGGTTGGGCTGAAAAGTCCAAGCTTCTGATCATCACCAAGATTCACCTCATCAGAACAAAAGACACTTCTATCACCCAGGAAATTGCAAGGGTTTTAGTTGCACAGTGTCAGAAACCGGGGGCGAGTGAAGTGTGATTTTTCCTAGATGCTTCCCTACCTCCTCAGCTCGTTTCTTTTCTATTTCTGTTCATTTCTTAAAATTTCTCATTCTCTGTTACTAATTCAAACCACATCATTAAACCTCATGTCTGCTGTGCTTTAACTTCCTTGTGTAATTGTTAGTTCTGGTCATTATTTTAGTTTATCTTAAATGATACTGGTGGGCTGGATTCATTCCCTTGAAGCTTTCCTTTTCCTTATGATAGTCTGATGACATTAAGTCCCAGTTAATCATATTACCAATCATGTAAAATGGAAATTTCTCTTCTGTCAGCGACCTCCATGATATGGTATCATCTCACTTATACAGAGTTTGCTTTCCTTTTTCTAAACTCAAAGTCAACTATCTTTAAAGGAGTCTCTCCAGTGTGTTCCATACATGAGAATCTTTCCTTGGCTCATTGCTTTAAATATTGTTTGATTACCTTAAATGTTTTTTGATAGCCTGTCACACACTGGCACTGACAGTTGTGAAGAACAACAAAAAAATTCTTCTTGGAGTTACGTTCTAAAAGGAGGAGACACAAAATTCATCAAAATAAATATATAAATACAATGTCTTGTGGTGAAAGTGCCAGGAAGATCAATAAAACTGCAAAATGGAATAGTGTGTGAGGGGGCCAGGAGCAGCTCTTAGCAGCTAGGAATCTAGTGTAGGCACTGTGATCTTAGGTCCTCTAGGAATGGGAATGCCTCTCTGGTGGAATGCTTTTAAGCAGCTATATGAGGGATGTGAGTAGGTCCTTTAGGTGAATTGTGTTCCAGAGTAGACAAAATAGTAAGTTCAAGGGCCCAAGGCAGGAGTGTGTTTGAAGAACTTCAAGGAAGCTAGTGTGAATACAGTGGAATGAGCAAGAAGGGCAGTGGATGGAGATAAGGTCGGTGTGGCGATAGCTAGAGTTTGGAGTGGACAGGTCACATAGGACCTTTCAAGGGCATTTCAAGGACTTGATTTTTTTAAAATAATGAGATGAGAAAACATCAGGGAGTTTTCAGTAGAGGAGTGACATGAAATAATTTATATTTAAAACAATCACTTTGGCTACTTTGTAGGAAAGAGACAGTAGCAGTCAGAGGTTGAAGCCTGAAATCCAGTTGGGAGCCTATTGCTGTAGTGCAGACAGAATGCTTGTCTTCCGCCTGGGTAGAGGGGGTGAGGGTTGGTCAGCTTTTGAACATGTTTATAAAGGAGGACAGAAGGAATTTCCTATTGAAGTAGGTATAGGGTATGAAAGAAAAATACAAATGAAGGACGATGATTTTGGCATGAGTCCCAGGAGGAGTGGAGTTGCCATTTCCTGAGGTGGAGAAGGAGATGTTGGGTTGTGAAATCATAAGTTCTGTTTTGCACATTGTAATTTAGATGAGCTTATTCACATCCAAGTGGAGCACTCTGCTGCATTTGGATATACCTGAGGAGTTCAAGGAGAATTTAGGACTAGAGATAGAAATATGGACTGAGTGAGATCTCCTATGCTATGAGTACAGATTGAGAAGAGCCTTGGACAACTAGCAGTCAGAAAGATGAGAATTTGTTAAATGTATGGTCTCCTAATGCTTGAATCAAGACCTCTGCTTTTGAGAGTGTGTTCTTGTTAGATTTGGAGTGATGGCCTGGGCTGGTCTATATATAATGCTGTAAGCAAGCCCTCTTGAGTCCAGTTGGTGAACCACAACCTTAATATGTGCTAGAAGAGATTGAATTTAGTGAGAAATAAAGCAATACAGTCTAAGATAAGATTTTAGTAGCAAATAGAAATATACGTGTAATATGTAGAAGATTAGCTTTCAAATGAGGCATCTTTTGCTACAGTTCAGGGCTGTGTGAAGTTAATTGTCAAAATGAACAGTAAAGTTGGGGAATTCTTTAGAAATTTAGGGGAAACAGAGGTTAGAGTGATGTAGAATGGGGGAATGATGGAGAGGAGGCATATCTAGGATTTGAATAAAGATGATGAAGGGCAAAGAATGAAGGTGTGAAGTTGGAAATGGGCAAGCCCATGTGGGGACTGTCAAAAAAAAAAGATTGGTCTGAAGCCAGTCACACAAAGGCCAATGTTAGAAGGTATTTGTTGTGCAACGAGTAGAGTGTGAATGTGGATAAATGGGGTGATCTTTGGTAACATAACTTTTATTTCCAGGCTGACTTTTGTGGACCTTGTTAGTAATTGTGGTAGAACAATGGCGTTGTAAGTTGGATTTGTATTTTCCTTGGATATGTAGTCTTACCCTTTAACTGGGTGGCAACAGTATAGCAATAGTAAAGTACATTGAGGAGTTTCTAAGAAAAATAGAAGGCAAAACTGCTAAGAGTCTTGTTCTGGGATCAGAAGTGTGATCTTTTAGGACCCCTTAAATGATGGAAACCAAGATGTCTATGTAGGATTTTGAAAGAAGATGCTGTTAATGGCAAGATGTGGGTTTGGGGATCATTACATTGAAATGGGAGCAGTTTAAATATTACATGTGTACAAGTACAAAATGTGACTGAAAAAGGTGACAGTTCCCTAGTGTGATATTGTGATATAAGAAATATATATTTGGTCATTGGCCCTGGTTCCTGGTGGCACAGAGCTCCTAAAACCCTGGTACAGTCATGTGCTGCATAACAATGCTTTGGTCCACAACGGACCAAATATGCCTATACAACTGTGGTCCCAGAAGATTAGTACCATATAGCCTAGGTGTGTAGTAGGCTATACCATCTAGGTTTGCGTAAGTACACTCTATGATGTTCACACAATCACCTAAGGATGCATTTCTCAGAAAGTATCCCTGTTGTTAAACCACACATGACTGTAGTTTCCTTAGTATAGGAGTGTTTATTTCCCATATCAGTATAGAGTGTTTGGTTCTCCTCAGTGGGCTTTTTAAAACCCAAACTCTTATTGCTACAGTATCTATAAACTTGGTCCCATGCCTTCATCTTCTTTCAGTTTACACATTTTTCCAAACATGATCTTATCCAGTCCTCTGTCCTTATATAATATTTATATACTAATGATTTCCACATTGTTATCTGTGGTTAAGACCTTTCTCAAGATTTATATATCCAATTGAGTTCTTCATGTCTGTGTTGGATATCTAAAACCCATCTGAAGGTTGATATGCTTTGAAACGTACACTTAATTTCCTCATATTCCAAACCTCAGTAATATTTCCCATCTCATTAAAGCCACAACCCACCTATCTAGTGGCCTAGGTCAAATAATTAGGAATAATACTTGATTCCTCACATTTGTTAATCCCCCCATGTTGAAACCATGAGTGAGCCTTGTCTTTTCTCTCTCCAGATTATATCCTGATTTCCTGCACTTTGCTCTCCATTGCTTCCTCAAACCACTTTTCGCAGTTTGTACCTGCCGCCTTTATCCCTGCTTTCTTGTTCAGTTTTCCCTAACTTGAACATATGCTCAGTGAAAATAAGGAATATGTTTCTATATCCTGATCACTAGTACAATGCTTTTAGTAGATAGTCATAATTTAATAAGGATTTCTGGACATATGAATGTGTCCCACATAATTTTCAAACAAATATCCCTTTTTCTTCTGTCATCTAGTGCTAATAGTAACTTGATTTTATTTTACTATCTCTGCATGCTTCATAAGGTCACATTTAGAAAGCAGCCAAATCTGTATTTACTCATTTTGAATGATCTAACTTTGTTTATACACTGACTGTTTTTACCTTTTATTTTGTTTATATATTTTTAATTTCTATTATTCTTTGTTTCTATTATTGTGTTTTACTTTTGTCCAAGTGATAACGAACATATTTACTTGGAGTTTCTTTAAACTGAGGTCATAGTGTTGTCAATAAAACCAACCTACACAAAGTTGTTTGTGAAATAATTTTATTCTCTACCAAGCTCATGGGAAGATTCATTCTTCTCTTCTTTCCTAGAAATCAAGAAAGATGATGGTCATCAACAGGTGCACTTGCACAATCGAAGATGTCTAAAGAGAATGGAACAATGCCATAAACATAAAGCATGTGGAAACGTTCATCAGAGTACAAGTAATTTTCCTTCATGGCAAAAAGATATATCTGACTTACGCGGGAAAACTTTGAAATCAAATTTAAGTTTAGTCAACAAAAACAGAATCTATGCAGTAAAGAACCTTGTTGAAGTTAATGGAAATGCAAAATCCTTCCTCCATGCAAAGCATGAGCAATTTCGTACTGAAATTAAATTACCTGAATGTGGAAATTCTATGAATGCAAATTCACAATTCATTAAGCATCAAGGAACTCAAAAGGTAGATAAACCCCATGTATGCACTGAATGTGGGAAAGCCTTCATCAAGAAGTCTCGCCTCATCGATCATCAGAGAGTCCATACAGGTGAGAAACCTCATGGATGTAGTATATGTGGGAAAGCCTTCTCCAGAAGGTCCAAGCTCAATGAACATCAGAAGACTCATGTAGGAAAGAAACAGTATGAATGCACTGAATGTGACAAAGTCTTCCCCAAGAAATCACGGCTACTTATTCATCAGAAAATTCATACAGGAGAGAAACCCCATGTATGCAATGAATGTGGAAAAGGCTTCATGAAGAAGTCTTGGCTCATTAATCATCAGAGAGTTCACACAGGAGAGAAACCTCATGGATGCAGTCTGTGTGACAGGGCATTCTCCAGAAAGTCCAGGCTCATTGAGCATCAGAGAACTCATACGGGAGAAAAACCATATGAATGCACTGAATGTGACAAAACATTCCGCTGGAAATCACAGCTTAATGCACATCAGAAAGCTCATACGGGAGAGAAATCATATGTATGCAGTGAGTGTGGAAAAGGCTTCATTCAGAAGGGCAATCTCATTGTACATCAGCGAACTCACACTGGAGAGAAACCTTATATATGCAGTGAATGTGGAAAAGGTTTCATTCAGAAGGGCAATCTCCTTATACATCAACGAACTCACACTGGAGAGAAACCATATGTATGCACTGAATGTGGGAAAGGCTTCAGCCAGAAGACATGCCTCATATCACATCAGAGATTCCACACTGGAAAGACTCCCTTTGTATGTACTGAATGTGGAAAATCCTGTTCACACAAGTCTGGTCTCATTAATCATCAGAGAATTCACACAGGAGAGAAACCCTATACATGCAGTGACTGTGGGAAAGCTTTTAGAGATAAGTCATGCCTCAATAGACATCGGAGAACTCATACAGGAGAGAGACCCTATGGGTGCTCCGACTGTGGGAAAGCCTTCTCCCACTTGTCATGCCTTGTTTATCATAAGGGAATGCTTCATGCAAGAGAGAAACCTGTAGGTTCAGTCAAGTTGGAGAATCCTTTCTTAAAGAGTCACAGCTCCTCATATTCAAGTGAACTCATACAGGAGAAAAACCCTGTTAATACGGTGAATGGGCAAACACCTCCTGTGGCAGCTCAGACTTCATTCCATGTCAGTGGGCTCCTAGCAGATAGGAAGGTAGCCATTGTGGGACAGCCAGATGCCAGATGTCCATCGTCAGCAGATAAGGAATTGGCACAGAGAAACCTTATGAATGCAGTGAATGTGGTAGTGCCTTCTGTGATCAGTTACGTCATATTTTATGTCACAAAAAACACTCAGGAATAAACTGTGGTACAGTCAAGGTGGAAAACCCTTGAATAAAAGCTTTTAGCTCATTATATGGCTGATAAGTATATACTGAGAGACATGGTGTGAATACAGAGAATGGGAAAGCCTTTTGGGGAAAGATAGACCTCAATGCTTCATAGGTCACATATCATCAGTGAGCTCCTGTTTGGTAGAACTGTAATGACCGTGGAAAAGTCCTTCGCCAGAAATAAGACATCAGTAGGTGTCAGAGAGTTCACACAGGAGGGAAACTCTGGGACCTTTGAAGGCACTGAATGTGGCAGGGTTGTCAGTGTTACATTCTGCCTCATCACTTGGCAGAGGAAATCATATAGAAATAAAACTGAACACACCAACTGTGAAACCTTCAGCAAAATATCAGAAAAAATGCATGAAGCAAATAAGCCCTGTGAAAATGAAGAATATTTTAGAGATTTCTGTCAAAATTCTAACATACATCAGATAAAATACATAGTGTACATTTTAGGACAATATCCCTTGAATCAAACTCCTAGTTGATATGTCAGTGTCTCCTTAATTCAAAGGAGGTTGTCTGTGTTGCAGATCATTGGTTAAGGTTATAACACAGCGCACCCTCCCTCCCTTTTTTTGGGCATGAGTCTTTTTCCACTCAACATCATTATATGGTTAGCTCTTGCATTTCTTTGGTTCTAAATTTATTCAATTTATTTCAGACTAGAAGTCCTTCAAAAGAAACTGAATACATTTAGTTCAATAATGTAACATAGCATCTTTGGATCTGCTTAACTTTATGACTATTACCCCAAGGAACAAAGCTGAAAACTCATGAGTAACCTAGTAGCCAAGCTCTTACCCTGGAAGACAGTTCCCATCCGGCACACACACCACTCAGAAAAACTTTAACAACTATTTCCTTTACCTGCTACTGTCTAGGATCTATGAATGATGACAGTGATGAACTAAACAAAAAGTCCTTTCTACCTGTGAGCTAGCAACTTTTTTAAAGCTAGATTTCATGCATATAGCAATTTTGCCCTCTAGCAAATGTAATCAAAGGATGTATGCACCTACATTTGTTGAAAGGGACATACAGTATAAGGAACAAAGTGTCCTGATAATTTCTTGTTCGTGGGGCATATTATTTGGAGGGAGAGAATGAAAGGATTCACTTAATTTTACTTACATAAAATAGGGTATGGATACTTTAAAAAAAATGTTTTGTGTCTTATCTCTCTACCTAGATTATAAATTCTTTGATAGTTTATAGATTGTATATTCCCCAGCACACAGAAAAATAGAAATGAATTATGTGTAGCATTGAAAGATGAGTGAATGACATAATGGAGTAGTCAATCAAAATTATTTTTGTCACTGGAGGAAAGGAGCTACTGAAAAGAAATTCTAAGGATCAGTGTTATTCCAAGAAACATTCAAAAAAAATTCCTGAATAGAGGCTCCTGTCAGAATATAAAAGGGACAGATCAGAGAAGGAATAGGATCCACAGAATAAGCCCAATTAATGGAAGAAAATAACATTAAAAATGAAGGGCAGCATGTGAGATTGGTGAAGGTGAGATCCTTTCAGATGTCTTGGAGAAGAACCCTTACATTTGTCCACAGGTCTGTCACCTTTTAGACTTGCCACCATTTCATATATCCTGGCTCCTCTGTGACATGATGAATTGAGACGTGATTTAGCCTCATCATTCCTTCTCACTCTCCTGGGAATGGGGCCCTTGTCCTCTTTTATACACAGGGTTCTTTCCCTTGCTTCAATAAAGAAAAATCCAGCTTAAAAACAGTGACTACTGCTTATAAGGAAAAAAAGTGGAAATTTGCTATGGAATGGTTGTCTCATAATTGAATTCCAAACTCTGGGTTTTTGAGTAATTCACTACAACAAATTTTTTTTGAGCATCTGTACTGTGCCAGTCAGTGTCGTAGACACAGCTCACACTGGTAACCACGCAAAGTAATGGCCTCTAAAAGGATGGATTTGAGACAGATGCTCTTCAGCAGAGAATCAGAAATGGATTCTTCTTCAACTCAGACTTCAGATCCACTCCACTTCTTGTCTTGTGAATCTGCACATCCTATCATAGCAGGCGTAGTGTCTTTCTCACTGAAACCTTCAGTCAGGGTCCCCGAATGGAGTGCCCAGGCCTGCCCTAACCCCTGAGGACCAAGTGCTGAACTCACCTTTCAGACATTGGCATTCCAGGTAAATAAAAAATGTTAATGGGGTAGACAATTCCAGCTCGCCTTCTTTAAGAAAGCCGTACCAACTTATACCTTGTACTGCTCCACTCCCTCGCCTTCATAAAAATTATTGCTGTGGCCAGCCCAGTGGTGTAGCGGTTAAGTTCGCGAGCTTCACTTTGGTGGCCCGGGGTTCGCAGGTTCGGATCCCAGGCGCAGACCGATGCACCACTTGTCAAGCCATGCTGTGGCAGTGTCCCATATAAAATAGAGCAAAGTGGGCACAGATGTTAGGCCAGGGCCAATCTTCCTCAGCAAAAAAGAGGAGGATTGGCAACAGATGTTAGCTCAGGGCTAATCTTCCTCACCAAAAAAAAAAAAAAAATTGCTAACATTTATTAAGTGTGCTCTTTGCCAAATGTTAACTGCATTATAATAATTAGTTATTTAGTACTCTCAAATGCTCCATTTCCATCTTCATGTATTTTAGAGAAACATTTATATATGTTTGAAGCCTCGTTCCTTTCTCCTTAGTACAGGTAACCACATACTGTATGCAGTTGTACATGGCTAAGAACTGAGAGTACTGAGATCAGGGTTTGGGGTCTCAGAGGGTCACTCTGCCTTGTATGGCTCAGTGATGGAGAACTGGATTTGAGGGGTGATTGTATTAGTTTGCTAGGGCTGTCATAACAAAGTATCACAGACTGGGTGGCTTAAACAACAGACATTTTTGTCTCACAATTCTGGAGGCTTGAAGTCTGAGATCAAGGTGTCAGCAGGGTTAGCTTCTTCTGAGGTCTCGCTCCTTGGCTTGTAGAGGGTCTTCCTCCTGTGTCTTCACATGGTCTTCCCTCTGTGTGTATCTATGTCCAAGTTTTCTCTGCTTACATGGACACCAATTATATTGGATTAGGGCCCACCCTAATGACCTTACTTTAACTTAATTACCTCTTTAAAGACCCTATCTCCAAATACAGTCACATTCTGAGGTACTGGAGGCTATGACTTGAACATATAGATTTTGGGGGAACACAATTCAGCCCATGACAGTGCTGCTTTTCAGTGAATGCTGTTCAAGTTCGGAAGTTTATATTGGGCTAACTGATGGAGCTGGCAGGTTGTCAGTAAATGGTGGTGTCTTTTCTAGGTTTGACAATTAAGATAGTCATATGGTTAGTATCTGAGGAGGCCCATGTGTGTTTGTGGTTTAGAGGCTGAAGCTTTGTAGACCTAGGACCTCTGAGCTGCTGGGACAGACCTGTTGAATGTTAGTTTCCCCTTAGTCCTTCAGATAAGTCTAAATCCCTCTTCAAGGACTATTTATGTATACAGTCATGCATTGCATAATAACGAGGATACCTTCTGAGAAATGTGTCATTAGGTGATTTTGTCATTGAGCAAACATCATAGAGTGTACTCACACAGACCTAGAGGGTATAGCCTACTACACACCTAGGCTGTATGGTACTAGTCTTATGGGACCACTGTCATATATGCAGCCTGTCATTGACTGAAACAGGTGATGTGGTGCATGACTGTATACACAAACACACACACACACCCATACATATATTATACACACAAACACATATTTCCTGCAAAAGCAGTTGGTCCCTTTGGGGACAATGTTAAGGCAGCCACCACAGGTGAGAGGAGAGATTCCATTATATTGAAAGTGCTTTAGGCTGAAGAATGAAGTGGAAGCTCTTCAGCCGTCCCTCAGTGGAGGACCATGGATGCTTGTGGGGAAAGGAGAGTTGACTTTTGAAGGAATATACCCTGGATGCCTCTAAGAAGTTGCATTCACTGATTTCTGCCCCTGAGTATCACTGCATTTGGGCTGTGTACCTTTTCCTCTGATGGTGTTACGGAGTCAAATATGAAGATTCTGGGGCCTTAACCAAATTGCCCTGATATTTGAGATACAGGATGAGAGATGAGTTTAGAGGATGCAGGAGAGTCCTAGAAAGCTCATCAGAGAATGGTTTGTGGCCGTGAATGGTGGAAGATGAGATCAAGAAGATCCAAGAAGTCGGTGGTTTATCCTGGGAGTCTTTCACCCAAGCTCCCGAGTTTGGATTGTAGAAAGCCATGGGAGTGCTGATGTCGGATCTGCTGCTTTGGGGGCAAGCATGGAGCTTGCCGTTTGTGTGTTTCTATGTTTATGGTCTTTCATGTGCCACTGAGTATTGTAAGAGATGACTTCAGAGGCTCAAGTCTTGTGTCTGTGACTATATGGCCATCCTCCAAGGGGACTCTGGGTGGTAAACTCCTACAAGGTAGTAGCAGAGAGCTAAGTTTTATTATGAGGGTATCTGGTAAGGGAATGCAACTGTTGTTAAAGTCATGTGCTTGGAGACAGGCAGAGCTGGGGTCAAATTGTAGCTCTAACACAGAGTGTTCCTGAGCAAGATATTTAATCCCGAAGTCTTAGTGTGACATAATGAGAAATATGTATTTATTCTCTGCTCCTGGTTCCTGACACGGAGCCCCTAAAACTCTTGTAATCTCCTGATTGATGGGTTGATAGGAGTGTTTTACACAAAGCTGTTAAATCCCTTGGAATTGGGTGATAGGAGCTTCTTTTCTTCTGAGAAAGTGACTCTCTGTGGGCTCCTGGATGGCTCCTGGATGGGGGCTGGTCACCAGAAAGACCAAGGCATGATTAGAAGCTTGGAACTTTCAACCCCATCCCCTGTACTCTGGGGAAGGGAGAGGGCCTAGAGATTGAGTTGATAATTGATTATTCATTAAAATATATATATATAATCATTTGAGTCTTTTAGCATATATATGAAATATATATATAATCATTTGAATTTTTTATCTTTAAAATGTATCCATGAATCAAGTAGGTCAATTTT